ACAGTGACATTGAATTAGAGTTTTAAGGGTGTCTTCACTTTGTGCATAGTTGAAAATGAGCTTCTATCATATTTCTTCATTTTTGTTGTTTTAATAGTTAAGAATATGTGCATATTTTAAACTTTACTTAAGTGAATGACATTGGTTATATACCACAGAAGAAATGAGTTTCAATTATATGTCTGATCATCAAAATGATGAACGGCCTTTCAATATAAGGCGAGGCTTGTTTTTCTGTTATATTTCATGTCAAAGCTACTAAGGTTATATCTGTCATTGTTCTTAATTCTTAAACCATTGACCAGTCAGTCAGCAGCACCATAACACCTAACATCCATGCTAAGGGATTGATTGCCACTCTTATTATGCACTCACAACTTAAGATGTAGGGGATATTTTGTGGCATCTTACGGATTCGAACCAGGTTCCTAAACTTCAAAATCCAGAGTTCTACCACAGGGCCAACCCCACCCATGCGAGATTTACATTCTGCTTTACTGAATTATACATAAATCGGCTTTTTTGTGTGACGATCAGAAAGAGTATTGTGTTTCGCTAGTCATCAAAATCTGTGTTCGTTTTTTTGTTTTTGTTTTTATTCTCTGCTGGTTTTAAGTATTAAAAACTTCCTGTGCAGTTTCCAAAAATGGACCTTTCATCATTAGGGGCAAACTGGGAGTGAGGTCTCCTAACATGATAAACGGCTTCCTGTAATTTTGTTTAGTTTGATTTAATTTGTTTTGACTTTTTCGGAAAGCTACACGAGGACTATCAGCGTTAGCCATCTCTAATTCAGAGAGAAAGCTGGCAGCTAATCAAACCACCCCACGTCAACTCTGAACTACTCTTCCCAACGAATAGTGGGATTGACCGTCACATTATAACGCCCCCACGGCTGAAAGGGCTATCATGGTTGCTAGTCGAGCCCCCTAACCACCAAGCCATGCCAGGATATATTGTTTGGTATTGCACAAATTACAAACTTAAATACATATGTTGTATTTTTATGGTATTCCTGCATCAGGGTATAACTTTGGGATTATTAGAACGAGGATATGTAGAAAAAGTTGAAGCGAGTAAGATATGAATTCTTGCTTTTTGTCGTCTTAATTAACTGGGAAATAATAAATGTTCATTCTACATACATATTCCGAATGCAGTTTAAAAACTACCTTTCACAAATTTCTCATTACTTTAGGGGACAGAAGACAATTCTGTAGCGGATCTACCAATAGCGACACTACTAAGATTATTAATATTGTTTATTTTTAGTAGACAGGCATGTTGCCTCGCACACCATTCTTTTTGTGAAAAAGTTTCTGCTATTAAATTTCAACTTTTAAACTTTGCGTGCATGTGTTTTGTTTTATTATGTGAGTTAGAATCATAGACAGTCGAAGTTCGACAAATTATTTGTCAAATATATATATATTATATGGAGAATATGTATAATGAAATAGTCCCCCCAGTACTGGCTTTGTCAGAATATTCTCGGAGCCACAAAATAAATTTATAATGCTCTGCTCTAAATATAAAAGTAACTGTAATTGGCATTGTTCAAGAACAAAAAACAATGAGTATTAATTAGTTCTTTGTAACTTATAAATAGTGTAAAATATTTTTAGTGATTATTACTGCTTCTTATCCACAGAAATACGTTGCTGTACCGTAACTTTCTTTCCTGAGTACGTGATTAATGAGACTACGAAAACTTAAGGTCTACAATAAAGATTGGGAACTACCATATATTTTATCAGGTTTTCAGGGAATTGAACCAACGTTTGGGTATTAACCATTTATGAACTCATATTAATAATTTAAGTTAACTACCACTAAAGTTAAAATGAAAATAATCTTAAATAAAATGTACTTTAATCAAGGCAATTCGTTAGTAATTAAAACATATTAAATTCAGTGTTAACTGTTTTCTACGGTGCAATTTAAAATAAACAATTAGAATTGAAAACGATGAATAAAATTCGAGAACTTGAAACTTGTAGTCGGGTTTTAGCTGTGATTACGTTTTACGAGGTTCGGCGAACTTGGGAAATTTAAGTTAAGCCTAGATTTAAACACATCTTTATTAGCATCATTATAACTCAAGTTATTCAAGAAGTTTAAATATACGAAAGGTTAATACGTTAACTAAATAAAACTTAACAACGAAATCGCACATTAATCACAGATATGGCATTCTTTATTTTTTAAAACACGTTGTTATTGTAGAAGAAAAAGAACAGTAAACGTTCATCATTATCTGTAAATGCTAACTTTGTTAGAGAAAGTAGTGTTTTCGGTAGTCTGTATAATCTTGTTTAGCAGCTCCTAATGGCAGAATGGTTAATGATATATAGCTAGGACAATACATTATCGTTCCACATAACAGTAAGAACAAGACAGTTTAATAATTGGATACAGTACAATACGAAATCTACTACTATTCACTTACTCGGGTAGTTTGGTTTTTTTTTTAATCTCGCGCAAAGCTACACGAGGGCTATCTGCGCTAGCCGTCCCTAATTTAGCAGTGTAA